GATCGATCCAAACTATGAAAAATCACTCCCAGGGGATCGATCCAAGCCCCTGGATCGATCCAGACAGTGGGTTTCAGCTTACTGTTCATCTTCTTCAACCTTCGGTCCATTTTTCGGAAAATCCATTTTCAGACGCTGAACTTCAACGAAACTATATAGGGATGTTCTCCAAGGTTCATAGGTCATTTTGGTATTATTAATTCATAGTTTAAACATCAAATTCATGGTTTATGATTCTTGGTTCTTCAAGCATGTCAAACACAAAACTCAACCAAATGAGCGTTTATGAACGTAGAAACGATCTATACGAACATTCTAGTCACTAGATATATCAACGGGCTTACCTCAAAGCGAAATGGAGGTTTTGAGGATTTTCCGGCGAGACTTCCAGAAAGGATTGTTACTATCTCCGGCGACCTCCAACTCTCTGGACAGCATCACTCTACTCTCCACACTCTCAGGGACAAAATGGAAGAAGAAATAGAGAGAATGGTGAAGAAATGGGAGAATTGGGTTCTTTATAAAGAAGAGGAGAAGAGAAGAGGACAGGGAAGGTGAGCTGCTGATGCGTAGGATTCCCAATTCACGTTCTCATTCGGCGCAGATGTGATTTTTAGGCGATTCTGCACGTTACCTCTCTGATTGGGACTAATTCGTCCCAGTCGGGATACACTTTTTGGTCCAACTTTCTCCGAATTGAAATCCGTTTGCACCGTTGCGATCGTACAATTAAACTCTATCCAATGATATACTTTTTACATTTATTCGTTATACTTTTTCCGACATCATATTTTTGGGTGGTTGACTTTGACATAGTCAAAATCTGTTTAATTGACTTTTATTCAAAAAGGTTCTCACATTTAATTCATATCATTTATTTCCATGATTTATTTCAATAAATCATTTCATAGTTCACATTATAAACAATTTCTTCATTTATTCTTAATTTGGGTCTGTACTCAGGTTCCCAATCAAGATCACACAATAAGTCAACAGGTTGGATTTATCTCTATGAGATTTAACCCAATTATGTTTATTGGACATCAATGTATATTTTATTTCGGCCCAAAGCCCAACAATAATTTATTTTAATCAAAACAAATTTTGTTTAATTGAATATTTAGTTCAATAAATTTTAGGGTTTATTTTGGGGCGTTACACTCACTCCTCCTGGGACACCTCAGTTAAATGGAGTGTCTGAGAGGAGAAATCGGACTTTGCTAGACATGGTCCGGAGCATGATTAGTCTGACAACATTGCCAGAATCATTTTGGGGATATGCATTGAAAACAGCAGCACACACACTCAACAGAGTTCCATCTAAAGTTGTCAAGAGCACACCATACGAACTATGGCGTGGGAGAAAACCGAGTTTCTCGTACTTTAAGATTTGGGGTTGTGAAGCTTATGTAAAACATCTCATGACGTCTAGTAAGTTGGAGCCTAAATCTGATAAAGTAATTTTTGTGGGATACCCCAAGGAAACTAGAGGGTATGAATTCTATCATCCATCCGATAACAAAATTCTTGTTGCTCGGAATGGAACCTTCCTTGAGAAGGAGTTTCTTTCTGCTATCACTAGTGGGAGAAAGGTAGACCTCGAAGAAATTCGAGAACCACAAGAAGAAGTCCCAATAGTGTTGGAACATGAGCAAAGAGATCAAGCAATTGAACCTCAAACTGCTCAAGATATACCACGTAGGTCAGACCGGATACGTAATCCTCCGGTTAGATATGGATTTCTCATGTCTGATGAAGGTGACGTCTTGTTGGTAGATCAAGGCGAACCAGAGACCTACCTCGAGGCAATTACATGCCCCGAATCCGATCTATGGCTCGAAGCCATGAAATCTGAAATGGAGTCTATGTACACAAACCAAGTCTGGACCTTGGTTGATGCGCCCGAAGGGGTAAATCCCATTGGATGCAAGTGGGTCTTCAAAAAGAAGACAGACGTAGACGGGAAGGTTCATACCTTCAAAGCT